AGCTGCTCTTTCGCGTATAAATTGTGAGCCAAAGTGCGAGCGATAGCAGATTTGCCAGTGCCGGCCATGCCGCTGAGCCAGAAGATCCGCTCGCCTTGAGGGTTGGTACTCCATTCTTCAATCAATTTGAGGATCTCGGTCCGAGTGCCGTGCAAGCATAAGCGCTCATGCTCAAGCTCGCCCGAATTGAAGCCAGCACCCTCAGCACGAGGGAGGGCGTCCAAGCGATCGTGGCCCGCTGCCTATAGTATAAGCAGTGTATAGTATAAGCAGTGTACCTCATTTACTGAAGTACTCACAGTGAAATTGAACTGGTCCAGTGACATAGCCCGTGAAGGATTGGCTGCCTCCAGTCGTTTCGCTGTTACCGAATTGCAAGCTCACAGGTGGCTGGGACGAAGGAATCTCAGACGACATATTTCATAGCAGTCTACTAGTACTCGTACTTTAAGGCTGACCGGGAGCGGCGGAGTCCGGCGAGGTTTAATATCAGAACCGCACCGAAGAAAATGAGTTCCAGTGACTGAAGGATACTTTAATGTATACTTATCATTCACATTGACTGCGTTAAGCCAAGAGCCATGGGGGTCAGAAAGAATGATGCATGGCTGACCGAATGGAATCGATTACCTTACCCCACCTTATCACGTGCTGCGCCAGTGACATCATCAACGGGGCATTGCAAAGGCTCAGGTCTGTAAAGTATAGCGGAGGCTACGAATGTGCAAGACCATCCGAGGAGTTCAAAATGGCGGAGGTTTTGGCCGTGACTGGCAGCGTCATTACTGTAGCCACTTTGGCATGGCAGAGTAGCAAAAGGCTCCATGAGTTAGTCGATGCACTGAACAACGCTCCGGAAGCTATTGCACACACCAAATTCAATCTCTCCTCAATGCAAAGCACGCTAGAGACGCTGAGACACACTCTGGACACCGAAAAGTCCGCAGCCTTCGAGGCGGCCTTGCAGGGAACCAGGCTGGCCGACGCATTGGAGGGTTCGCAGCAGGAGTGTGATAGGTTTGGCAAGAAAATCCAGACTTATACAAAGCATTCGAAAGACACCACCGTCAGCAAACGCGACAGATTCACCTTGAACTTCCATGAATCTGAGATCAATCGATTCAATGGTCGCTTACAAGATCACCGGCAGGTCATCACACTCGTCTTAACTTCGATGAACCTGTATGTTTCGAGATGCAAAACTATCTTGTCGCTACTGATCCGTAGTAGGATAATCTCAAAGTCCTCATCCACAGATACCCAGCAGCTGAGTGAGCGATTCACAACTCAAGAGACGGAACTCAAGGCTTTAAACACGCAGCTAAACAATACATTAAGCCATCTTCAAAGTCTCTCGCTATCAACTAGGACCGACGAAAACACAGCAACCGCTGCTGAAGACCGCGATTGGAATATCCACTCTATATTGAGACTGATGAGCGTCTGTCGGGACAGTATCTCAGCTACATCTGAAGCAAAGCCAACCAATCTCAAGTTTGGAGACCACTCTGCAGACAATTCCCGGTTTTTCGAAGGCGTTGCTGGCAGGGCGCAGCGGAACGTGACACAAGCGCACGGAAATGCGGTCGTCACGGGCGGGAGTACTGCAGCGAGGGGCCAGATGGATGCAGACACTTTCAAAATCATGTTTGGAAGTCATTAGTATAAGTGTGGCTTCTCTATAGGCAACCATATTTCTGGTATTAGGAGCATGCTAGAGCTGATCGTGGCGTCATGGCGACCAAGAGAATAATACTACGAAAGTACTAGATACAGTGTTAGCAGTCAGTTGTAGGCCAGTGCCAAGGTTCCCGGGGGATGGGCCCTGACGCACTCGTAGAAGGGACGTGATACCCGTGCACCCATTTTGGATACATTGACACCTTCCCTACATCCGGGTACAGCTTCCGGGTACAATAGGTGTCAGACCCGACGCACTCTACTCTGTATTCTTAGGCGCACTTTCCGGAAGCTTGTCTGTGATCAATATATCGTTAACCCTCGGGGGGTAAAGCGCGTTTAAAATCCCGCGCACCGAGAGGGTGTAAGAGCGAGTGTGCACATGAGAGGTTCCCCAAAAGGAATGGAGGATTTTGTCCACGAGTGACGCCCTCTGCAGGTAGCAGTGGTAGTGGTGGTGATATCCATAGATGGGATCCAACCCCCTCTGAGAATTATGCCGCACGCTGTATAGCGGATTGTCCAGCCCCATAATTTCTAGAACCACCGTTCCTCGGCTGCGAGCACTACGCATTTCGCTCCCGGAAACTTCCATGAGACCCCAGAGGGTGTCCCTAAGTATACACTGTAGGCTCAAGAATGTCCTCCAGGTTTTCGCCAGAGGCTCAATACTGTCCCGGGGGGCTTCGCCCGTAGCATACATGGGGGGAAACAGATAGCCAGAAAGAAAGCCAAAACGTGATGTACACAGCAGGTCAGAACGACTGCCGCGCTGCCCACGAAGCCCCGAGAGAGGTAAAGTGTATCTGTGAAATGGGGCAGGTCAGTGATCAAAGACCAAAAAAACGAACCGGTGGTCTGGCCAGTGATGTCGTTTCTGTATCCCCGAGTAGGGCGCCAGTTCTCAGAGACCGTCTGTCCGTCTTCCGCAACACACCGCTTCATAATGCCAGACGATATCACCATAGTCAGCGGAACGGAGGCAGTCACCACCCTAAAAAGAGGGGAGGAAGACCGAATCGACGACAAGTGCGGCTGCTTTCGCGGCGACTGAGGGTTCTCCGAGGAGTCTTTTCAGCAGGTCCCTTTCGCTTCCAGCAGGCGACAAGCACAGCCCTTCTCTCCCGTAATTCGTGGTTTCATTCCCGAGAAGTGTGTAGCAACAGATCACACAGGCAGAAGAACGGTAGTACTTTGAAGTAGCGTTCCCCTGAGGACGTCATTCAATCCCTACATACAGTAGCTACATTTTGCCCGGCAACGGCAGAAACAGTAGGCGAACAGCCTGCAGACCTTCGTCCATTTGCTACATCCAGTAGCTGTCTTCTCCGCAACAGCTCTCACAAATGACAAGACAATCACCGCCCCTTGAACCCTATCCGTCCGCAGTCCTCCAGCCCATCGCATCTCTTACGACTGACCTGACCTGACCTGATCCGACAGCCTGACGTCTAGAACATGCCATGCACACCATCCCGCACCTCCTCCTTGACAATCGGCTCCACGCCTGACATCACGTCCAAGTCTTCCTCTTTCTCCACCTTCAAGACTGTCCCCTCAAACATCGCGTCCATATCCTCTTCCTTCTCCACCTTGACGACTGTGTCTTGATACACTGCGTCCATAGTCTCCTCTTTCTCCGCCTTGAAGATTGTCCCTTGATGCTCTTCCTTCTGTCTCTTATCCTTTTGGCCGGATTTGTGGGGCTTGGCTTTTCTCTGGTGGGGAACGGTGGCTCGGGCCTTGCGTGGAGCAGATGGGACACCCTCCATCTGCTGTTTGAAGCGAGAGTAACGCATACGGGCGGCGTGGCCTTTGGCAATGTCTAGCTGATCGGCGACTTGCTGCCAGTCGATCTAAGAAGCTGAGTGAGTATAGTGTTCATAGTGTTATTGCGAAGAACAGCGTACCGATTTGAGATCTAGTTGTTTCATGATGACATAGAGGAATTTCGAGATAGCGCCATCAGTTGGCATAGTGCGGCTTCTTTTCAGGCTTGCCATCTTGAGATTTGACTCCGAAGAGTGTTCGAGAAGAATAAGAATGAGTGTGAAGACTTGATAGATAGCCTTATTCTGCTGGAATGAAGGTCACTAACAAGTAGCGCGTGGTATGATTATGATAGGGGAGGTGTGTTGAAGAATATCGATGAGAGTGAGATGGAGTGATGGCATCTAGAAATAAGTAAATCTACTGAACGCTGACGTGGGTACGCATACATTAGCAATTAGAAAGTTTGCTGTCGCGAAGCGACATCACAGACGCTCCTTGTCTCGCTGTCTTCAAAGCCTGAGGCTTTGTCCGTCGGCTTCCTGCATCAAACGAAGATTCCTGCAGATTCTGAACTTAATGCTCGGAAGGTGAGGCGCGTAGAAGAGTGGTCAGCATGAAGAGGGCTAGGCTACTGAGAATAAAGGAAAGAACAGGGCATAGTTCTATAGAACAATGACGACCCCGCGCAAGAAAGATGATAACGGAATGGGCGACCCAAGTGGTTTGGGTTGGAGATCTCGATCAAAGCTTTGGGTAATCAGCAAGCAGGATAGAGGAAACGAGGGAGAGCGGTCGCGTACCTTGAGTATGCGGAGAGACACGCAAGATGGTCATGGCGGTCGAAATTGGGACAGGAGATCTCAATATACTCGGTGACCTGCACAGTGACTGATACAAGTGGGGGTATGTTGGGGACATCCCTTTCATACATGAAGTGCAAGGTTCATCTCTTAGGTACCTCTCAGAATTGATAGATCAGGCTGCAGCTTGGGATTTCGGCATGGAGGACAAGGAGGTGGGTGAAAACCGAGCCGCAAATGAACACTTATGATGAGACGGTAGTCGATAGGTTTCGATAGAACAGAAATGAACACCAACAATGAGACGGTGGTCGACAGGATTTCATCGAAAAACAGCGATTGTTTCGGGTTGCATTGCTATAGCACCGTAGACAGTAGTTGTGAGTGTGTGAGTGGAAAGCCGGTGCTGCTCTGCCCTACAAGAGACTTCCATGGAGCTCAACCGGATAAATTTTCGGCCCGGGGAGTAAACACTGACAAAAGTTCGCACAACGGGACTGGAAAACATCCCCCGACAACAACAACAACTTGCATGAACAGCAGAACAGTGGAAATCGCCGCAAAAGCTTCAGACCGTATCAAGATTTGTAGCTATGCCTCCAACTGGGCATCCCACGGTGTGTATTGACCCGAACTGGGCCCTTGGTTTGAGTCCACCTCAATATGAGCTGACAGCGCTCTATTCACAGACTGGTGGGCTTCGCTTGTCGAGTGATAACCGACCTTCGCACAAGCGTTTGTGTGACTATGAAGAGCAATCTGTTGAACACCGCTGATCCACCGTTAGCAAACGTACACATCATTGACGACCGCACGCGTGTGATCTTCGGTGTCGATCCACGTGCAGCTGCAACTCGCTCTTCCGTCAAGTCGGCCGAACAAAAGAAGAAAAACTTGTTCCAACCAGCGGATTTGTTGCACCTCACTAGCGGTGACACCTTTGATGCTGATGAGCAGCTAGAGTCCGTAAGCATTTCATCCACGCATATTGACAACTACGATGGAGCATCACCTCTGACACCTGTATACAGCCAGCCTCCGCGAGAAATTCAAACATAGCTTCCATGGGGGACACAGAAAATCTGGACCTACTGGCATGTGTGGCCCTGGCTACTCATTCGAAGAAGAGGCAGCAGCCAGCTCATGGAGCGCCATCCAAAGAAGCTGTCACAGCCGACAGCCTACCACCAGCTGAGCAGCAGCCAAGTCACACAGAATATTCGACGGCATACTTTGACGCCTACTACGATGCTTCACCCCAAGAGACGACTGAGACAGGTTTCCTATCACGTGATGAGCAGCAGCCTGTCCATGTTCCATCGTCTTTTGAGGCAGCCAACTCAACACCACCAGCTGAGCAGCGAGCCAGCTATGAATCAACGGAATGGGGAGTAGCTGATGAGGACACGCAAGGTGCACATACCATCTCCAACGCCTCCACACCCACACAGCAGGAGCCGGTTCGAGGAGCATTGAATCAAGGCTTCACCGCAATCAATCCCCGAGCGACAAATGGAGGGCTCTCTCGCATTAATCCTCGGCCACTCCCTGGCTACATGCCAGCCGCCATAGGGCCAAGTGGCGGCCGTCAGCCAATCATAAAGAAGTCGCGAAAATGCAAACCCCGCACCACGGGCTTCAATAGAAAGACCGGCGAGGGTATGCTGACCGAGGTGTGCAACATAGCGACACCTGCGAAAGGGACGCCAGTGGCACATACCAACAAGGACGGAAGGTACCGCTGCGCACGATGCAAGGGCCGTTTCACTAGGACAAGGACTGTCAAGGATCACTTCATTACGTGTGTCAACAAGTATGGGAATCCGAATAAATTAAGCTGGTATGATCATCCAACCCTCGCAAAGTCCAAGGACTGGCATCTTGGAAGCCTGGCGATGGCGAAGGAGGCGGAGGACGGAACTGAGTGGGAGGAGGATGATGACGAGCAGGAGCAAGATCAAGAGGGAGATGACGATTTCCCTGAGCAGCATGTGGACGATAGTATCGCTTGGGCAATTGAGTCTGATACTGCCGCTGATGAAGAAGATGAAGACGGAGATTCTCATATGGGGAATGAGGACCAAGGCAGAGATGGCAATATCTCCGCGTAAGTCTTACCCTGTTGAATGCTAGACCGTTCGGATTCTGACAACTCTTAGGGCATCGACTCCATACTATACACCCAACGAAGGATCTTCACTCTCTGCCTCCATTCAAGGGTCTCGATTCCATACACCTCAGGAAGGGTCTGACACTCCCGGCTATGGGCCTGACGGCTATCGAACTCCGGTACCTAGCAATATCAGAGGATGGAGCGCAACTCCTCGCTACACAGGAGGGTCATACACTCCCAGCTTTGGACGTGGCTACGAGACTCCAGTACAGAATTTCGGTTACGATTCCGACCTGTCTAGGGATACGGATATTATCCGTAGACGCGAGACCGAAGGGTACGGTGACGAGACGCCGACTCCTGGCTATGATGAAGAAGGAGACTTTATCATGGCTGAATTCTAGATGGAATAAAAAAGCGATGGATGTCGAGGCGATGTTTCGATACTTGACACGGAGAAACAAGAGACTGTAATAAGGCGACGTGGTTGAGTCTTCTCCGCGTTCTAGCGTGTTTTTTTAGTGTGTGCTTGGCAGACTTTTTTTTCTCGATCGCAGGCCTTGCGCCCAGCGTTCTTTCCCTTACAAACTCGCTCTGGTCTAGCGTTTTTTCCTTTGCAAATCTTCACTCATTATCGTGTACATTACTGCAGACTCTGTTCTCTATGCCCTTCAGACATGGACAGGACATCTGAGTAGCTAGAAGAGACCATCATGCGCGGTGCAAATTCATAGAAAATCTTCAATGATCGTTGTCCGTTCATCCCACTACATTAACATTAGAACCTGAATCAGAGCCTTCTTTGATGCTCCTATCTGATCAACATTCATTCACTATACTCCATGCCTTCCGACGCTACCAACAGAAAGATCTCATGGCCGTATTGTCCTCTGTGGCTCTAATTATCGATGTCCTACACCTCATCTGTCAACATATATACAATACCAACAGACAACAAGACTTTGCCGGACTTATCTCATATCCCCTACCGGTAATGCAGCAGCTACACCATGGCTCTATCGCTCCGTCAAGTTGGACTTCTCCACCTCCCACGCTCCCTCTGCTTTCAGCTTTCGTAATGGCAATGACATCTCGCACCACGCTCTTGTGCAAGATGTTGCTGTTCTTGGACTTGATCCATATAGTTCTCGTCCTAGGCTCGCAGAGCTCACAGAATCCATATGCTCTATGCCCAATCTTCGGCGGTTCAGCAACGCAACCGCCACCGCAGTCCGCCTCTTTGCTGGTTGACAACTCGCGTAGTTGGAGATCCGGAGCTCAATCCCGACCAGCTTGAGGCGCATTGTCCAATCCCACCCGATAGTGAGAGACATCGTGTCTGAGTCGAACTGTGTGGGGAATGAGTGCGGCCCTCTCGAGCTCAAGCCTGGTCAAGCAAGATCTGACCTGGCGCAATGCCGTCATGGCTGGGAGATTTTTCTACGCATCAAGAGTGTATTCGACAAAGTACCTACAACTGAGGACATGTGCTTCTTCCACTACACATTTCTACCGAGACCAGCGTCTTTGGATGGCATCAGACGTTCTACCCTGACAAGTCTCCAACTCAACAGATGCAAAGATTTAGACTCTCTACTCGACAGTCTACTCGACAGCGTCTCGAGCCTGAAGCTCAAGACCTGCACAATTGGACCTGAACAATTGATACATCCAGGTTCTTCGACGCCTCCGGTGGAGACAAGCTTGAGACTTTCCTAACGACCTACATAGGCCTCGAAGAGATCGTGTTCTCCAATCTTGGTCCGGGTGAACTGTGCATGCGAACAATCTCTGCTTAAAGCGCCACACTCAAATCACTGGAGCCTGGTCTCTACGGTAGCAGTAGAACTTATGTCCCATGAACATTGTCAGATTCGGAGATCAATGCTACGAGAAAGGAACACATGCAGGACGTGGAGAACGTCGCAGATATTCGCAGCGCAAGTCCCAAGCTGTGTCATTTAGTTATTGACCAAGTTTGCATTAACTTGGGCGTCATGGTTACATGATTTCGATGCCTAGCATAAGACGACCAGCAACGACAATGTGCTCCTTGTCGAAATCTACTCGCACGCATACAGAACGCTGTCTGAGAGTCAGAAAATGAATTCCATGTCGCAATAAGGTTCCCAGCCTCCTCCCAGCCACCTGTTGGAACAACCACCTAATTTGTGAGGGGTACAAATACTGGCCTAGGGGAGTCCTGAGATGGAATAATTTATGCAATCTACACACCACTCATTCTACCATACCTGATATTTTGACATTCCAAATACTGGTTGCTGCTCGGTAAGGTAAAGGGATCGAGAGGCTACCCTGTAGGAGGGTAGAGCTACTTTTTACCAAGGTGGCGATCAATCTTCCTCGTCGAGATCCGCATAGTTCCAACACTTAGGGGCATGCACCGGGATGGCGTATGCAGGTCACTTTCGATCCTGCTCAAGCTCAAATGTTCAGCTCTTATACCATCAGTGACAATCTATAGTTGCTTTCTGTGGATTTTCACGCTATACAACACATCAGGACAAGCCACGCAATCAATCATTGGCCCTGCAACGCACCATAGCCTCCTTCGCGCTCTCTCCTCGATACTGCGCCTCGTTGAAGGATGAAGACGCCCTACTTTAGAGTGAAGACTAATTCAACTTCCCCACCTAACTGTGCCGCTTGTGCGTAATTTGTGTCGCTCGCAACTTATCTCGGTAAAAGGAACGGGACGTCAACGCTAGATTGTGCGACACGACCCGCACTCACCGAGGCTTCGAGTCAGTCACTGAGCAGGACCTTGCCATGCTCCTTGCGGTAGAGACAGAGCGTCCGCTGATTCAATGATGTGGTATACCTTTCACTGCTATTTTTGGAAGAGCCACAGTAGTATCGGTGTTGGAAACGATTGGCTCCAATCCTTCTGATCCTTCGTTCAAAGCTTTGATCACGAGACCAATTGATGCGTTCAATCTAACGCAACGAGCCTGAAATAAGGTCCGCCAATTCATGCAGGTGCGATGGGCCAATGCAAATTTGGACAGGCTTGCGGCACGACCCAAGGCGTTTCAATGAAGATCTCCCTCTGAGCGAGGTGTGGCAGATTCTCCGCCATCTGAGTAGTAAAACACTTCTGCTCCGCTGTTTTTCAGGCTGTTGTCCTTCAACCACTTGTCAGGGAAACGCTGCCATGGTGAGCAATCCAGTGGGAGATCAGGTTGTTCGTACAAGTATCTCGTTTGGTGTCATCGATACCTTCGCTGTTGCTCTGCGCCTTCTCGCGCGATGGAGAAGCAATGCTGCCTTTGCTGCCGATGATGCTCTCACCGTTGCCAGTCTCATCCCTCTGTATGCCATGATTGTCATTGGCCACTTTGGTCAGTTTGATGTTCTAGATGCTCTCCGGTCTTCTTGCTGACCTGAACAGGTGTCGAAGCGGGAGGGTTAGGATTGTCCACAGCGGTAAACCTCGAGCTAGGGCATGGACCGTCTCGAATCTCAACGTTTCTGAAACTGATGATGTCAGGCATCGTAACGGTGTGTTCTTAGACAAGTATTCCCATCAAATTCCAGACGCTGACAACCTCAATTTAGTATACGCTCACGATAACCATAGTCAAGCTTTCCATCCTGGTCCTTTATCGTCGAATCTTCATCACCGCCGGATTCAAGAGGAGTACCCTCATCGTAGGGGCTGCAGTCATGCTCTGGTTCATTGTTGCTCTCTTCACGGATTTGTTCCAATGCCGACCTTTTCAAGCAGCCTTTGACCCCGAGCTCCTCTTCACCGATCAATGCATCAACCTGCAAGCCTATTACTGGGGAGTCACCGCTTCCAACCTCTGCCTTGATGTTGTAATGCTATACATGCCTTTACATATGGTGTGGGGATTGAAACTTCCCACGCGACAGAAGATTGCATTGTCAGGCGTCTTCCTACTTGGCGGAATGTGGGCTACTTCTCTCTTCCCGACACGAGAATCTGTATTGACCAATAGACTACAGTGTCTGCGTAGCCGGTGCTATGCGTATTGCCACAATCGGAATCTTGCAGAAAGAGGACTTGACCTGTAACACAACCCACTCTTCCTCTTTCCAGCTAAACCTAAGCGATTTTCAGATACCATGGCCCAAGAGTACACATGGACACAGGTTGAGCCAGCACTGGCTATTCTCTGCTCTTGCCTCGTAACATTTCGCCCACTCTTCGTCAATCTCAACCTCAACTTTTCTAGATATTCAAGCCGCTTCAGCCGCAGCAAGAGCCTGTCATCATCGAAAGCCACAAACTCCACCGACATGAGCAAAGAACGGCGTTCGCATTCCCAGTGGCCTGTTATACAAGACTCCGGCCGTATTAAAAGCACAAGGCTTAGCGGCAAAGGGATGTCCACGACAGGGTGGCCTGCATATCGTCAACATCGATCTCGGGACCAAAGACCGAAAGGATCCGTACACGCAGATCTCGAACTCTTGGAGCAGGGGTGGTGAGGCGACTCGAATTCAGCAATTACCTAACAAGTCGAAGCACAAGTATTCACCATCGTCCATGACAGAATCCCAGGCGGTTGTTGCCGACCATTTCTAATCAAAACAAGTCGGGTACACATTGATGACCAAGTCCACGTATCTCGTGGCAGGATCAAATCGGGACGGGAACAGGGTTTCCACCCGCCTAGGATGGATCAAGGCAACGTAGGGTGCTTATTGGTCTATCTTTTTTTACATTCCTTCAATCATCGGGCATTCTACAGTACGTGAAGCTGATTGATGCTGGTATATTTAACCTGATTATATACTCTACCTGACCTTCATTTTTCCATCCCTATTTTCTGCATGCGCATCCTTCTTTCCACGTCCATTGTCTCGATATCGTAACACGAGTCTCGCTACAAGGTTCGCTCTAGAAACAAGGTGGAACCTCGTGCGGACGAAGCAAGGCCTTGATCCATACGTACATTATCACCGACATAGTCTCATATCTTCACACAGTACGCGAATCAGCAGCGCTTTATAACGTAGAGACCTGGCACCAACGCAGCCCCACCAACGATTAGACCACGTACTACGCGAAAGCGGTCCCATCCTCCGGAACCAGCAAGCCAATCTTCCCGATACTCCCCCCTGCCTCAACAATCTCGTGCGCCTTCCTCAACCCCGGCACATCCATCCGCAGCGTCTGCCGCAACGTGCACTTGACCGCGCCCTCATCCACCAGCTCCTTCAACCGCTTCAGTATCCTCCCATGACTTTCCGCCTCGACGCCGTAGTACGGCTTCGTGCCCAGCAGCGCCCACACGAAGGTCAGACTCTTCGCCATGAACTCGGTGCCGTACATGGGGATCTTGCCCTGCACGATGCTGCACACCTTGCCGAAGGGGGCGGCGACCGCGGCGCAGGTGGCGAGGTAGGTGTCCGTGCTGTGGGTGATGAAGATGTATTTGAGCGGAACGTCGAGGTTCAGGTTGTCGATTTGCGGTTTCAGGTCTTGGCGGTGGTTGACGATGTGGGTGGCGCCCATTTCTTTGCTGAAGGATTGCGTTTCGGGGCGGGAGGCGGTGGTGATGACGACGGGGAGGTTGAGGACGTGCCGGGCGATTTGGGAGGCCATTGAGCCGACGCCTGGAATGGGAGGAGAAGAAAGCCATCAACAAGATGAGAAGAAAAAAGGGGGGGGCGAGGACTGGTGAGAAAGCGGGAACCCACCTCCTGCACCGTTTATAATCAGCAGCGCCGCCTCCTCGCCTTTCCGGATCTCAAGCCTACACACCATCAGCCACGTCGCACAAGCCCCCCAAAAACCAAAGAAGAAGGACGCAACAACCCACCGCTCGACCAACGCCTCCCAAGCCGTGATCCACGTCAACGGCATACTGGCCGCCTGCGCCCACCCCAACCGCTCCGGCTTCGCCGCCACGCTCCTCGCATCCACGAGCTCCCACTCGGCATCGCTCCCCTGCCGGACCGGGCTGCCGGCGAAGAAGACCGCGTCGCCGGGCGCGAAAGTTCGGACGTCGGGGCCGACGGCCTCGACGAGGCCGGCGCCGTCGAAGCCGCAGATTTGGTCCGGGCGGGGGACGCGGGTGTAGTAGTCTGGGGGGTGGTTGGTTGGGTTAGTTTGGAGGAGAGGGAGGGGGGTTTGGGGGGGAGGGGTGGATGGATGGGTGGATGGATGGATGGGTGGATGGGGGGGGTAGGGAGAGAGTAGGATACAATAGATAATTAAAGGGAAAGGAAAGGAAAGGAAAGGAAAGGAAAGGAAGGGAAACGAAACCTGGATAGTCGTCATAGGTCCCGGCGCGGACTTTGATATCAACCGGGTTCACAGAGGCGGCTTTGATACTGGAGCGGAGGTTGCACCATCAGCGATCTGTACGTCGTAGGTAATTCTCCCCCCCTTCCCCCCTCCCTTCCTTCATCCATCCAACCAACCAACCAATCAAATTCCATTTCCCACAAACCACGCAGGTGGGACAACGTGTCTACTTCCTCAACCAAGATAGATACAACGGAGACGAGGCACGCACCGAACCAAAACATCATATCCCCCCGGCGCCCCCGGCTTCGGCACCGTCTTGGCGACGAGTTTCTCAGGCCCGCCGCGGTTGGCGTGCGCGACTGCTATGGCTTTCATGGTCGGTTGGGCTTCTGCTTCTGCCATGCTGTTTTACATACATACATATAAATCAACTCTAATGTACGGAAGAGAGGAGAAAACAACGTCCGGGGTCGGATAGTGACGTAGGCGCATGACGTCAGTTTTGATTGCGATATTGCTGGTTTTATGAAATGGTACTTGTTTAGTTGACTTTACGTCGGGTGTGGGTGTGGTGTATGGGATCTGGGTTGATGGATTTAGGTAGTAGGAGGTTTGTGGCGTGACGGGTTATATCTGCGGAGCTGACCTGAGGTGAGGGTTTGAGCAAACGCTGCATAGGTTGTGGTGTGCAGCGACAACAACAACGAAGAATTCATGCATGCATGCGTTTCTTCCTTACTACAAAGGCCTGCAATTGGGTAATCTTCTCCAGCTTTCTAGCAAATTGAACCGATGGACTCTTGTTCCACTCACGCAGCGGTCTTTTCTTCGACGCCGTTAGCCTAGAGGTGGGGTGTAGAGAAGGTTGAGAATAGTGGCTTGAAGAGGTGGGAAAGGCTCGATGGTATGAAGTGGAGTTGAATCGTACAGAGTAATTGCACAAGAGCGTACGTATCTACATTTCTGATAAATCAGGCACAGTGACAGAGGGGAATGGGGTATACCGAGCACCTGCACACACCAGCATAATCTTCCACCAGAAATCCAAATCTCCCTCTCCCGCCAGTCAACTCCCACCTACACAGTCACCTTGGCCAACTCCTCAAAAGGCCTCATACCGAACATATGCTTCCCACCCATCGCACTCCTGGAAATGCCCTCTTGGGCATTCTGTCTCATGAACTCCTCATACCTCCCTACGCCCTCTTTAGTGATGCCCTCATCCCGCAGCACCTCCGCCAACATCGCCGCATCCCTCAGGGCACACGTAGCGCCAATGCCGGCAGTGGGCGACATGACGTGCGCTGCGTCTCCGATGAGCGTGATGCGGCTCGAGGGTTCCCACGTGGGGATGTTGGGGGGAGCGGAGATGATGCGGAGGAGGGACGTTTGCGCCGAGTCTTGTTGGTCTAAGAGGGCGTGAAAGGAAGGGTGCCAGTGGGACGTCAGTTTTTTCGCTAGCTCTGCTGATTCGTTGTTAGTAAGGCCTAGCAGCTCTGCATCGTTCATGCCTTGGACGCCCTTTTTGGCGAGCAGGACCCAGTAGACGTAATCTTTGGGCAGCTCTTTTCGAAATTCGTTATCTTTGAAGCGTACAGGCTCCAGGAGGAGAGTGACTGGCACATCGCCTGTTCGATCCTGGATGACTGCCATACCCTTTAAACACCTCTCATTGAACTTCTCTTCCAGCTCAGGCGTGAGGGTCGATTTGCCGTAGAAGAACCTGCCTTCAGTATCCATAAGGCCAAGCTGAGGGACGAACTGCTTTCGAACTCTCGAGCTTGCACCGTCGGCACCAACCAGCAGAGAACCTTGTGCTTCACTGCCGTCGCTGAAATGAAGAACCACACCAGATGGCGTGATCTCATACGCAGAGAACTCTTTGCCGAATTCGACATGTTCTTCAAGGCCGCGCATTAACACACTCCTCAAGACCATTCGATCCGCATTCAAAGGCTCAGGGCTCCCCTCGGGCTTCTGCCCCATGCTCATACCATGCCCACTCTTGCCAGGCCCACTCTTGCCAGGCTGCCCACCCATACCAGGCGGCCCTGCTTTGCCAAAGAAGCTTTCCAATTCCTCGGCACTCAATGCGTTAAGCCTTGCACTCGGGCTACTGCCCCCGAGAGCATTGGTCGCACAACTAGCCTCAAGACGCTGGTACAGCTCGGATGAGAGAACGGACTGCAGGGCTTCGATTCCAGGGCCGATGATACGGACGCGGTAACCCTGGGCGCGGAGATTGAAGTGGGTGTCGCGTTCGTAGATACGGAAGGGAGTGTTGGATTTGAGAAGACCTTGGGCGAGAGCTAGACCGGAAATGCCGGCGCCGAGGATGAGGATTGGTTGTTGTGTTGTTATTGGAGTCATGGTGGGGATTGTAGGCTGGGGATGAGACTAAGAGGTAGGAGGTAATTGTTTCGAGGGTTGCGATTTGAGCTGGTGAGGGATCTGGAGACGAGCTTTTTGATGGATAGAGGACATCAGGTTGGTGATATAGAGAGCTAGTTGGTGATTTGACACGCTCTTATAGTCTCAACTCTCATGGTACCTGGGCACCCGGGGCATTATTAAAGAAAGATAGTCGCGTCTGCCTATTTTTGGTTCGGACTTCGGACTAGAAGCGGTACGCGACGGGTGCCTGAACCTCCGCATCAGTGATCAGCCCCAATTTGAACGCAATAAAGTACCGATTGCGCATCTTACATACAATATTGTGGTGGCTCTGATGTTCTGCGGTCATTTTTGATCAAAAGGAGTTCTTGTTGATGGTGATTCCCGTCGAGTTGCCCTTTTGTGTTCCCAGACATACAACAAGATGGCAAGGTTTAGGCGAGGCCCATGGTACTGGGTACCGTGATGAGCACCTGAACGATTGCAAATTGCTTGACAATTTGTCTGCTTCTTTGGTTGTTACCTTCTTGCAATGCTTGATTGGGATCTGCGTCAAGTCTGGACGGGTATGCGTAGGGAAGAGATTTTGATCCTTTTCCAGAAGTACGTATCCTCTCTCCAGTCATCCTTTGACGAATCGACACTAACCCTGTGATAATAGGCTGCTTTTTCCCATACTTCAATGGCGCAATGCCATGCAGGGCTGCATAGTTTTAGATACTCAAGTGCTCAATTCGTGATTGCTACAGTACTCAAGGCACCATTGCGAAAAACCCAGTCTGCGGGTTATCACCCTTTCAATGCATAGTTGGGAATACCGCAGCAATCAGATTCTGTTGCCAGCTACACCATCTGAGCGCTCGATCATCAGTCTTGATATCCATGCATGAGAGTTTCGACCACACAGCTCGCTTTTGTACATACTGAGCTCGTGCCAGAGATAGCGAAACCATTGATTTCCTGCCTCATGATTGTCAAGACTTCCCTACTAGCCTCTTCAACTTCAATTCTCAAAAACTTCCCGCGCGTTCCGAGTACTCACGGTACGTCCTGGTCACTGCACCCCCGTCGGCACTAATCTTGAAGCCCTGAAAGCGCACATTCTTTCCAACAAGCGCATTAGATATCGTGCTTTCGAACTTGGTACAAGTCGCGTCTGTGAATTGCAGGTAGCCGGCGTTCTTCTTGTCGCCATCATATGCAACGTCACCATCACCTTGCTCACGACCACGCCATTTAAAGTAGAGTCGGTTGGATGAAGTGCTTAGCGATAGCTTGGGACGTTTGGCAGAAGTACCCAGTGCTTTTGTGGGTGCTCTTCGTTTTCTGCGTATCACGGCCGCAAACACAGGTGACATAGGCTCACCATCCTCGTCCCTTGTATCCGCGCTTAGATCACTGAACACGTCCTCTGTCTCACTGGCATCCTCCCCTATATCCGTCGTCTCAAGCTCTTCCAGTGAAAGGTCCATTCCTGGACCATCATCCAGGCGAGATTCGTTCTTCTCCGTCGCCTTGCACCTGGCAAGGAGAGCTTTTCGATCGGTGTCCAATCTCATTACGCCATAGATGACGCCAATCTCGAAGATGCCAACCCAACCATCGGTCTTGCTGTAGGTGATCCTAAGACTCGAGTCATCGGGGTTTGAGCTGTGGTAGTTGTCCATGACCCCCCTGCATTCAATCGCATAACTCCCCTGGGCCGACTCGATAGCAAATCTTCTTGGCTTGGACGACACGGGCAGCATTCTGATCAGGTTGTAATGTTTTCGCAACCGTCTTTGCCATTCTGGACTCGGTTCGTCTCGCAGTCTCGCTTGGTCTGCTGAGATCCTCTCTGTCTCTTCAAAGATGGCTGCTCTAATCCAGCCGATCACCAGAACCCGGAAGTCACCTTCTCCGCCAATCGACGTCTTCAATCCAGGTATGGTATCGGCTGCTTGTTGGACTGCTAGCATGTCCGAAAGGCCAGGTAGCAGAACAGGGAATGGCGTTTTCAATGGATCTGGTTTCCCGTCCTGATCGAGAAAATACTTTGCAACAAATAGACTGCGATCGTAGTCTGCCAAATCGACGGGTATCTTGAACCTTTCGAGGGTCTGTTTGTGCTTGTCTTCTAAGCGTAAGCCCCTTGGTCGCTGTGTCCCTATCTTCTGAGGTGGCTTTTCTGTCTTGTATTGGAATTCGGGATGTTCGAAATTTGCCGCCTTGAAGAGCTGTTCGAGCTCTGACGCTATAGCACGAACTCGGGAGGGGAGTTTGTAGCACTGCATCACTGTTGTTATCAAGTGCACAGGCATCGTGGTCAAAGGCTGCTTACTCTGCCGTGCTTGACACTGTGCGCAAGCAGTAATGTAAGTTCCGCTACAGTGTCTTTAGGTTCAAATTCGATGTCATAAAATGTCAAATGTGCTACGAGCCAGGGAAAAGTTATGGTCATCTCCGCTCTGTCGCGGGCCCGCTTCTGGGCTCGTTTGCCATTGATTTCGTCCGGGAACAGCATCTCGTGAAGACTAGGCCCCCCCATTCGTGGGATTCCGTTGACGTTGAAGCCATCAACATCATATGAGAAGGGTCCGTTGCTGAAAGGCTTGGTAAGTGGTCTTTCCAGTCCATATGTCAGTCGATGTTGGGGCATTCTTGAACTCACTTTCTGCGTTGGTCAAGATGGTTTTCTGGTCTGCGATCCTGCATAGTCTAGCTTCTTGGGTGACAGCTTGACCTGATCTTCGTGAAAATTGGTAGGAGAAGGAGCAGAGAGGAACAGCGGAAATGCCAAGACTTGATGCTTAGTCATTGTACTACCGTAATGTAAATTTCATTCCTAAGTCTAGCGGCTAAAGCTGTAATCAAAACGAATACATCAGTGACTGACTAGCCTGTTCCCCAGTAATTTTCCATGGCATGTATCTTTTTCAACGCCGCAATCGTGACTGAATTCCGCATCACAGGCGTGTAAGTCTTGATATCCAGCACGTTCAAGCCTGCCTTTCCACCAGGTTATGCCACTAATCAACATTCCGCTCCAATGCGCCATGCATAGTATACATCTGCAGATCCACACAGGCCACCCACCAGTGTACGCCTGTGTATGGCAGTGCCATGTCATTAATCAGAACCCGGGAGTCCGCGTCCATAGCGGGAATGAGATCTTTGAGGATCTCCACTGCCTTTTCATCCGGCCAGTCGTGCAGGATTCTGCCAAGGTAGTAGATTGGGGCTCCTTCCCAAGAATGAGCCTGACTTCTTTGGTGGGGACTTAGGGTATGAACATACCTTTGACTGGTTGTGGATTGAAGAAGTTGTGGACCATGAACTCCACGCCCGCAATGGATGGAGCTGCCTTGACGCTCTCCTCCAAATCCTGCACAGTGATGTGGCCTGAGAGTTTTGAATACTTGGCTTTGATACGCGCCCTCTGATGGCCAATGTTACCTCTTAGATCGACACATAGTGCACGGTCTGGCCCAAATGATGCAACCTCCTCCGCAAGAGATACAACATCTAACCATTCGCCCTCACGCGGAAGGCTCATCAGCCGCTGCAACGTCCGGAATTCTTCAGAGTACTGCTTCGCCCAGGGAAAGACTTCGAGATCTGCATTCATGGCTTTTTGCCAGGCTAAGTTATTACCTTCCGGGTGATTCTAATACTTTGTTTCTTGAAGAAAATCAGGGAGGAGCTGGAAGGACGGCAACGGAAGTGTTAAGTCTGTGCTCCTAAGTAAGATTTTTATCCTATCGAAAAACAACGCGACTCGCACATAGGATACGTTACCCTTAATGCTCGGATCTGTCAAGGCCCTGGTGGTGTTGTTGAAATGGGCTCCTCCAAGCGGACTTTACACCACCAACCATTGACTGGCTCTCCGGTACATGGCACCTTACCCACTTGGAAAAGCAACCGCAATGTCACAATGAATTACACTGTTGTCCCTGCTCTGAACGCTCAAGACCCGCCCAACAAGCTCGATGATACCACATCTTACCAACCCCTCACTTCTCCAAATTCAAAACCATTAACGGCGTGGACACCGCGCGCGGAACCGACACTTCGGTGTGGGACAGGGGAGGTAAAGGGTGGCTCACCGTTGCGACAAAGCATTGGGAGGTTTTGGGCTATGGAGATATACTTGAGGAGGCCGGAGGACCGGGGCAGTGGCTTGTGACTTATTCTTATAGCGAAAAGGTTCACGAGTGCGGGGATAGTGTGTATTCAAGGACAAAGGAGGGAAACCCGGAAGCAGTGGTGAGAGACATCCTGGAGTGTTTGGGTGGGATCGAATATGAGGCGGTCAAGAGGTTTGCAGGGGAGATTTCTGAGGTCTTGAGGAATCAAAGCAGGCCCACTCCGCGGTGAGTAGCCATCCTTCTAACGATGCAGATAATGAGAAGACAGAGGAAGCAGCGCCAGGAGGTATCGTCGGTTTTCCGCTGTTTCTTGTACATGTTTCGACTTTCCCGTTCCTTCTCGCGCTCCACTGAATTTGCCGCCATCTTTACGCGGAATGACATCAATCTCCACCATGGTGTTGAAGTACGCAAAGCGAGATCCGTTCTTCTCCAGTAAACAATAGTCTGCAATAGCTTCGAGGCAATTCAAAGTAATTAAATTGACGAGGACTGCCACAGTCGTTTGGAACATGCGTACTAAGTCCTTTACCTTTGGCGAGATTGCTGTAAGGCAGAAGCACAAATATCTTCCCTTTCTCCCTTGAGCATGAGAAGTATTTTATTCTCTACCGTCATTAGCCTGGACCTGCCGACTTTCATTAAAACCCATCCCTTTTTCGCAACTGTCTTCCTCCCAGAATCCCTCCTTCATCTTCCTGGTCCATCACCATGCATCTCAGCCTCTACCTCGTTCACACAGCACTCCTAAGTACCGCCGCCGTTGCCAGACCTTCAGTGATCTCGAGCCGAACGAACCACGAGTTGACGAAACGGCATTTCTGGTGCAACGGAGGTGAGGCGACCAGTCCGAAATATCTCATGTCGCTAAGCGCAGCCAGTGGATTCCGAGGACATCTGCCCTGAAGGCCAGACCATGGTCCCCATCGACGAGTACGCCTGCGACGCCATCTCCAGTGCTGGAAGGATGAGCCAGATATCGCCACCTGTCAACGGCGAGAAGAGTACCACTTGCCAGCAGCAGACGCCCGCTGAAAATTTGTCGACTCCACCGGCCGTTCAGGGGAGTTTGGAGTCTAGCCCTATAGTTAGCTCTACTGTACCGATGCATTTGACGTGTACGGAGATTGATGGCGCGACTGGATCTTCCCTTCTGTTGAACTGCACGACGGCAGCTTGATTGAGGATGTGCGGTGGACATGTTTGGATGTAGGGAGATAGGGGTGCCGTGCAACTTTCAGGTCTGCCTTCGTTTCTTGGACAGAGATTGTGGGTTATATCATTGATCGAGAGCATCGTCGAACTTATCTTTGAGAGTGCACGCCTTATAAAAATCTCAGTCCTCTCCGCAATTGCTTTATATGTAGAAGTTCTTTGCTTATCCCTCTTGCCCTCTTTACTCTCATCTCATTTCTTCCATTTCTCACCAAGAGTACCGGCAGGAGCATCTTGGTCTCTCGGTACTCGGTCTTTATCGAGTGGAGTGTTGTGGAGTAAGAGTACTTCACTGAAGGACGCCATGATTCTGTAATGTCCAAAAATATCGGGATGCTGCGCCGATATTCACATCTGTCAAAGGCTTTGATTCTACGAAGCACAGATCAGAGGTAGGGACACGGTATCTCAATGTAAACAATTGCAGGTCCATTATACATATAACGGCCAAGGCTTATCGGAGAAGATGCGAACATAGCATGCCGATCTTGAGGTGATGTTGGATGATGAGGGTAGTCACCGTCGCTGTGCTCGGATGGAGGGGCCAGCAAGCATTTCGAATATCATTGACGTCCATAGTCATCAATAAAGATAGATGCAAGAACAACGATAGAAAGGCCATGAACAGCTTCCAGCTCCAGGGCAAGCGCAAGGGCACATTCATCAGAGAGCCTGAAGGGAATACGGGGACCAGCGCACGTGACTTATCTCCGCTGAGTCAGCAAAAATGTGTTGTGCTCGAGCCCACCTCCTCTCTACTCAAGGTATTCCACGCCGTCGCGACAATGGACGCACAGCTCGATCGGCTCAGTCTCTTGGCACCAAACCCTTTGAGACAATCTGAACATAGTCTCGGTGTTCTGCCGCTAACTCGCATACATACTAAGGGTGTCCAATGCCTGGGAGGAAAGCACCGAAAGTCGCGTATGCCGTCTTCGTCGGACGCAACCCTGGCGTATACAGCACGTGGTATGATTCGCTTGCACTCTTTCACTGGTCCGATATACTGATCTCGCGCTAGGTCTGAAGCCGAGAAAGAGGTCAAAGGTTTCTCGCGACCCATCCATAGAGGCTATACACTTGAGGAGGGAGGCCGCGCCAGGGCAGAAAGAGAATTTGGGGCATTCGAGGCGAAGACGGCGTTGAGGGAAGAAAAAACAATCGAAAATGTGTGCCATACAATCGAGGAGCCAAAGATAATGCCTAATCAGTCATCGGAGGAACCGGTTCGCGCTTACGTCTCAGGGCACATGCCCCAAGCATCGACGCCTCGCTATTGCGTCGCTCGACAGCTTGAGACCCCTCCCAATACCCTCATTAGGCAGAAAAGGGAGAGGCCGGCTTCCTGGGAATCCGATAACGACTTGCCCAAGGAAGCAATATGTGTGGGCGATGATGGCACACCAGAAGAAGCTGCGAGCCTCAAGTCACAGCATACACACGTTCATATCACATCTTATACAGCACTGTCTGCAAATATATCCTTCTGCGATGCAGATGATTGCACCATCGAGGATAGCAGTTCAGCCGGTGAATCGCCCTTAATCCCCGATGACACCAGCTCCGACGACCAAAGTTCTAGCGACGGCAGCACCAGCTCCGATGAGAACCGCTCCTTTGGTAATACTGCAGGGGAAGCTGATGTCAGCGGTCAGGTGCTCCTTGCCACGGACAGTGAAGACGACAGCGGCACCTCTACACTACCATTCGACAACTCTAGCAGTGGAGATGAGAGCGCGGGCCAGGAAACACACCCTCAACTGCCGGTGCCTAAATATGCAGTTCTCAACGAAGTAATATCTCATGATCGCAACATCGCCACAGATCAACCGAACGTCGCATTGGACTGTCTCAGCCCAGCTCAAGATTACATTCCATTGGGTGCATCTTCTGACTATGGCGATAGCCTTGACGATCCGGCCGTGCTGGACCGCATTTCTGCCAACGGCCCAAGGATCGAGCCACGCCTATGCGATGAGCAGCTCGCTCTTGTTCAGCTCATCATGAGCGGCAAAAATGTCTTCTACACGGGCTCGGCAGGCTCTGGCAAGTCAACCGTTTTAAAGCATTTTGTCACCCTGCTCAGAAAAGAAGGAAGAAAGGTTGATATATTAGCTCCTACTGGTAGAGCTGCACTGGAAGTGAATGGCAGGACTTTGCACAACTACGCCGGCTGGATTCCGCGCTCTCTCGCTCAGCCGCTGCGGAAGTTGGAGAACAATGCCCTTGGTAAAAAGGTGTGGAAAAGACTTAGGACGACAGAAGTCTTGATCGTTGATGAAATCAGCATGGCAGCAAATCATGTTTTCGAGCGTCTCAATTGCATAATGAAATCTGCAAGGGATAGCAAGAAGCCTTTCGGAGGCGTTCAAATCATAGTGACTGGCGACTTTTGCCAGCTCCCTCCCGTCAACGGATTTGAATATTGCTTGATATGCGGCACCAACTTGGGAACTGTCTCCTGGGAAGGCAAATTTGAGTGCGTCAAGTGCTTGGCGCAATTTGAGGAACTCGACAAGTGGGCTTTTCGCAGCGCTGCGTGGAAAGAGTGCAATTTTGAACACGTGAACCTCGAAGTCATTCACCGACAGAAGGACGCTAAATTCAAGGCATTGCTCGAGAAGCGTAGGCTTGGCGAACCTTACAGCGTCGACGAGAAACGGCTTTTACTTGAGCATGCTTCTGAAACCAGAGATGCTGTCAGACTATTCCCAAGGAGAGTAGACGTAAAGTTCATCAATGACAAGAAACTTGCGCAACTTCCAGGGCGGGCTTTGACATATTTGTGCGTTGACAACTTCTATTGGAATTCAGAACATGACACTCTCAGAGACAAAAAGCATCGCTGCCCGGAGCCGATGAACCACACCTTGGAAGCCCTGGAAGAGCATCATTTCGAGCCAAAACTTGTACTTAAGGAAGGAATGCTTGTTATACTTCTTGTCAATTGGGATCTTGACTCGGGTCTAGCCAATGGCAGCCAAGGAAATATCGTTGGCTTCGAAAAACATGACCTGAAGCTGTTTCCCGAAGTGCCACGTGATTGGGATAATTCGAGCCGCAAGAATGGGTTGGTCAGGTTATTCGCCAAACGCACAGCTGTACAAGAGTGGCCCATCGTGCAATTTCATAATGGTAGGAAAAGAACCATTTACCCACGATGTATGATGAACGAGCTCGGCGACGAGAAACCGTATAGCTTGCTCTCCAGGACACAAATCCCGTTGATGGCTGCATGGGCGATGACAGTGCACAAGGCGCAGGGAATGACGCTGTCACGTGTGATCGTCGATTTGAGGCATTCGTTCGAGCCGGGCCAAGATTATGTTGCGCTTTCAAGGGCTGAGACTCTAGGAGGTTTGAAGGTTGAAGGGCTACCGACAGTAAATAGGGGTCCTGACAAGCAAGTGATTGAGTTCCTGAGGGAAAACAATCTCATGCCAGCCATGGACTGGGACGAGTGCAGTGACGCGGAGAGCGAGCAAGTGAAGGAGATTGGATGAAGACTACACTCAATATCGAGATGGTGTATGCACGTAGTGATGGCAGGTGGGACCGGAGAAGAGCCGGGCTGCATGGAAAAGGTATTGCAACTTGCAAATGACCTGACAAAACACGCGGATATCCAAAGGATCAGTCGCCGCTTCACTGCAGCCACTACTCGCAGTCGGGACATTTCCCCGAAGCCTTATCGCTCCTACCGTCACATTGACCTTGAAAACTCACAAGCTTGCAATTTTCAATTGGCCTCGGAGGTTTCACATTGATTGCCGGAATCTGCATGATGAACTGCTAGATCGCTAGATATGCTTGCTCAGCTTCTGCTCAATATTGCAATCCTTCTCGGGTTATTCCTATCTCAGCTGAGCTTTTGCAATCATTTTCGTGAGGAGAAATGTAGACGATTGATCTACTTGAATATGAAAGAATTCCCAGGCAGATTTCGGAACCAGAGTCGCTCTGACAAGTTTAGACGGCAGAAAGATCCTTTCGCCGCCGCAATATGCCGTTTCACCTAAGTAAGAAGACACCTTCGTTGAGTAAAGGAGTATTCCTGCTCCCGGAATGTGGCATATGACCCCAATTTGCTACCAGGCAGTAAGGCTTCACTCCGAAATGTACGAGCCCTCGCACTTGTTGAGCCGAGTTGTGCTAGAAGGGAGGCAGCGGCAGCTTCTCAATTGAGGAATCACTGACATAAGATACACATTCAACACTGATTGTATGGCACCGCCACTGGGAAGATGATGGTGTAGGTCCAGTTGTGTTCACAAGTCACAACCGGCCCTCCTGCACGATTGAGTTGTCTTGGCAAGTTTTACCGGCCTAGATTAGAAGCTAAGCCTATTTGAGGTTTTGAGCACCGCCAGCATTGAAAACTTCCTGTACGTTGGGTCATGAAAACGCTTCAGCCTGTCAGCGCGTAGAATTGTCGACCTTGGCCAAAACTACGTCGTAAGCCAGAATTTGATCTATTAATCCTTCAGTCTCAACTCGAATAGCCCGTCGCTCGCATACGCCAAAACTTTCACTCACTATGGCTTCGTCATATACGCCAGAGCCATTATTCACCCATACCCCTTTCCACACTCTACCCCTTGGTCTCCCAGCGCTACGTGCAACATATATACCATCCCCGAATCCTGAAGAACAGCGTGGGCAATCTATGCATCACGAGTGGACCGAAGAGCATGGATGACACGCCTGAATAGTGCAGCGCTATAACGAGGTCTAATAAGAGTGCCTTACCATCTGTCCGGTCACTGAAGCTCAGCTCGTGAGCGACAAGCCAAGGTGAAAACCAAGTACCGAAGAAGAAGTGGAGAGGTATGAGAAAACCTTGCCGATGTATGACGAAGATTGGCAGGTAGAAAAAAGAGGCCTGCTCTTGATGGCTATGATCAAAGATGCTGCTCTTCTACAATGGTCGGGCGACAAAGCCAAGGAGCTTCTAGATCTCCCATC